CTTATTAACACAGATGTTTTTAGCATACCATCCATCCCCTAACACTGGTTGACCCCACCTCCTCCATTACCCCTATCCATACATCTTTAGAATTGTCTTGACCTTGTCCTTATTTTCCCATATCTGACTCATATATTACCTCTTCCTTGTAGCCTTCCTCTGTTGTCCTTCATAGCATCATGGTGTGCCATATACTGCTTTCTATCTCTAGTTTTTATGCACATGGCGATACTCCCCATAGGCAAGGATTGTGACTTGGTCATCTCTTCACTCATGCTACTGAGAATAATGCCTTGGACAATACCGTATGCACAGTAAGATCACAGCATCCCACTTTCTAATGCCCCAGTGGCTTCTCATATCTCCTGTCAGTGACAAAAGCCCTGCAGAAGCCCACAGAATCCTACACCATCTCTCATTACCTCTCTCCCCTTGCTCTTCCCTTTCTACTCTGTGGGGCTCCTTGTTGTCCCTTGAACACAGTAGGCAAGATCCCCCCCTAAAGCCTCCGCATTCGTTCTCCCCTTGGCTGGGACACTCCTGGTATGTCTGCGTGGCTGGCTGCTTGTTCATGTCTTCAGGGCTTCTCTCAAAGGCTGCTTTCTCAGTTAGACCTTCCCTGACCACTCTATTCACATTGTGACCCTTGAAACACTCTTTCCCTTGCTTGTTTCTCTATAGTGTATATGTTACTCATTTATTGTGTTTATTTTCTGTCTCCCCTGCCCCTAATGGAATATATTCTTCCCTCTACTTTAAATCTGTTTCTTTCTGTATTCTTAGAGCCTGGCATGTAAGAAGCACTCAATGAATATTTGTTGGAAGAAATAAAGAGTAAGCAAATTAATAGAAGGAACTCAGAAAATATTTGTTAAATTGGATTAAGTGTCAGGAACATGAATGTGAAATTCCCAAGCCCTAGGAATATGGTGGTTTAGAGCAGTGGTTCTAACCTTCCTAATGCCACAGCCCTTTAATATAGTTGCTCATGTTGTGGTGACCCCCGACCATAAAATTACTTTCATTGCTACTTCGTAACTGTAATTTTGCTACTGTTATGAATCATAATGTAAATATCTGATATGCAGGATGTATTTTCATTGTTACCAAAGGGCCTTGATCCACAGGTTGAGAACTGCTGGTTTAGAGGAATGGTGAAGTTGAGCAGAAGCTGCTTCACTGGGATTAAAATTGTATGCTTGTGATGGGAGGGGCAGCTGGACAAGAAGACACACATCTTCCCAGAAACATTCCCGGCTGGTAATTTCCCCAACGGGGCTGCATCTGGAGCAGGGCTGACCCTGGCTGCTTTCCTAACCAGCCCATCTGAATACTTGTCTACCACACAGGTGTTTTCTTTTACACCATTTTGGTTATTGCCTCTCTCTTCAGCTTTGTGAAAGAAATCTGCTGTAGTGTATGTGACACTTCTCAGCTGTAAGTAGGAAATCACCGGGAGTAAAAATGACAACAAAAACATCACACAGGACAAGGGGTGTAGGGGAAGCAGAGTCCATATCAGAGCAGTGCAGCGTGGAACTTCCCGTCTTCTACCCAGCCTCCGCCTTTACACTATTTATCTGAAACTTCTCTTCTTGGCTTACTTTTCTTGCAGATGCCTTCTTTCTGTAGTAGGATGGCGCTCTCCTCCACACGTTCCCTCTTCCTCCGGGGACTCTAGTATTTTTTTCACGCTTGGTCGCTACTACAGCAGATGCCTGCCTTCTCATTATTTGCTGTACAGATCTCCAGTGCCTTGACTGTAAACAAAACACTTTAGATCATTGTGAGGTTGATGTCAGCACAACCTTTCTGCTGACGGCCAGACTTCTTAAGGTGGCGTGACTGTGACTCATTCACTCTTCAAGATTAACAAAGCAGCAAGATGGTGCTCAAGCATGTTAGTTGAAAGATTCAGCATGTGTAGGGAATGGAAGCCTTATAATTTTCTACTTTCCTATAAGATACTAATTCTAGGAATAAAATTAAACTTCTGTGGTAAGGTGATACTCTAGAATTTCTCCATTTACATATATGTGGTAGTTTGTGTGTTTATGCATATGAATAGATGCATATATAGAATTGCTGAGTAGTCTAGTGGTTATTCTAAAATTGGGATAATTATCTAATTTCAGAGGTAGGGTGTAAATTATGGCAGTAAGCTAGGCCTACTCTAGCTTTCCTGACCCTTCTCCCTCAGTCCTCCAATCCAATAAATTCAGTAGGGCACTAAATGTAGAGAAAATAATAAAGAAAGATGGGACACCTCACACACACATACTCTCCCTGCCCCGGCTTTGGTTCCAGGTGAACTCTTTTCCACAAGTTCCTGACTTTGGAACCAGTTCTGGGCACTCACTGCTTCCTTCACTACAGTCTGGGTATGACCCCGTCCTTTTAGAATATGTTTTTTTTTTTTTTGAGACAGAGCCTCAAGCTGTCCCCCTGGGTAGAGTGCCGTGGCAGCACAGCTCACAGCAACCTCCAACTCCTGGGCTTGAGCAAGTCTCCTGCCTCTGCCTCCCAAGTAGCTGGGACCACAGCCACAACACCTGGCTATTTTTTGGTTGCAGCTGTCGTTGTTTGGTGGGCCGGGCTGGATTCGAACCCGCCACCTTGGGTGTATGTGGCTGGTGCCTTAGCTGCTTGAGCCACAGGCACCGAGCCAGAATATGTATTTTTTGTTGAACTAATAGATGGTGATACCAAAGGCCAGTGACAGCTGTATTTAAATATTAGTGACCACAGACCACATTAAGAAAACATCTGCAGTCAGCCCAGGGCCTGTGAAGAAGCCATTTTGAATCACTTGTGAGAGATGAGGACCTGCAGACTACAGGACAATCAAATCCAGACAACAAAACAAAACTAAACACAACAAAAAGACCTGAGCCACTTGGGACCATCAGGACGGAAAGGAACAGAAAATGAACCAGCCTGAGAGTCAGGAGACCTGCATCTAATCAATCCCAGCTCAGCTACTAGCTGGATGCATGTACCTGGACAGGAAACAGCTCTGAATCTCACTTTCCTCAGTAGTAAAAAGAGAGAGGTGAACCACTGGGTCCCGAAGGTCCCTCCCAGCTGTTAACACTTGGGAGTGTTTGAGACAAGGTAGGCACAGAGTGGGCAAACAAGATGTGGCAATGAAAACACATTAAAATCAGATCCATCTGTAGCATAAACACATCAGAACACTGCTGCTGTGTTAACAGTGGATTATCATGAGGTTAGTTTCCAATACAATGTATTAACTTTGGCCCAAACCAAGATGATCTGTATTGGGACTGGGGTTGGGGGGCGGGACAGTTAAAGGCTCACCAAGCTTTGTCTCAGATACAACAGTCCTGCTCATCTGTTTTACCTTCCACACCGTGCTCAAGCCCCTCCTGAAACATAAATTCCAAGTTGCAAAGGAGAGCAGACGAATGCCCAAGTAATAACATCAGACGTTAGGACATAGTTGTGGTGGTTTTAAAAATCACTTCATAATCTGGACTTTGATCCTGAGGGGAATGTTTTTCCCCTTCAACAGCGTTGCAGCCCTCTGAAAGCATTCACTTGCATCTGAATATTGTTCTGGGAGGGTTGGAGCAGTGGGTCTGGTGGGAGAAAGGTGGAGGAAGGAAATAGCTGTTGTACTTGGCCGCTGGACTCAGGTGGAGGGAAACTGCTATAACCTGGGGAAGAACTGAAAAGTATAAGAGGAGACGAGTTCCCACACGCAGCCAATGCCAACGGCCTTAACTGTGCTTGGGAAGCCCGGGCCTGAGCAGAGGGGTGTAACCTCGCTTCACAAAACTGTGTGTCCGGGAGGGCTACAGAATTTATTAAGGGGACCGAAGAAACTAGGCGAATTTTTGACTTTGATCTCCTTGTTTTAACCGAGGGGGAGCATGGGGTCAGACTACTTTATAAATGCTGCGTCCGCTCCTGGCGAGTTTGAAAGACTTTCTCCCAGGCATCTTCTCTAAGCCCCCCTGGGATGAAAGAGACTCCAGGGTGAGGCTAAGCAAACCTCAGTCCCAGTTTAGGGACTCAGGCGGAGGTTGGGGGGAGTTTCCTGGCCTCCCCTGCAGCGTGCGAAGTTGGGGGCCCCCAAGAGCCGAGCTGGAGGTACAGCTCCCACGGTCGGCCCCCGAACCCCAGGCTAGGCGAGTGCGGGGAAGACAAGCTGTCCTCTAGCCTCTGACCGACCTCCGAGCTCATCTGGTCCAGGGCCTCGACTTCACCGGCAGGAGCGGGAGCTCGGGGCTTCGGAGTACACGCGCGCCAGCCAGCGCTGCGCCGGGCCCAGAGCCCCAGGCCCCGCCCCGGCTTCCCGGCCGTTTGGCTAGTTTGTTTGCCTTATTTTTAATGTCTCCGAGGCCAGCCAGAGCAGGTTTGTTGGCAGCAGTACACCTCCAGCAGTCACGCGACCAGCCAATCTCCTGGCGGCGCTCTGGAGGCGGCGCGCTCGGGAACGCGGAGAGGCGTCGGAACCGCGCCGGGGCCACCTTAAGGCCGCGCTCGCCAGCCTCGGTGGGGCGGCTCCCGGCGCTGCAACCAATGGATCTCCTCCTCTGTTTAAATAGACTTGCCGTGTCAATCATTTTCTTCTTCGTCAGCCTCCTTTCCACCGCCATATTGGGCCACTAAAAAAAGGGGGCTCGTCTTTTCGGGGTGTTTTTCTCCCCCTCCCCTCTCCCCACTTTCTCACGGCTCTGCGACTCCGACGCCGGAAAGGTTTGGAGAGCGGCTGGGTTCGCGGGACCCGCGGGCTTCCACCCGCCTGGACTTGGACTGGCTTTGCCACCCCCACCTCTTACCTCCTCCCCTCCCCTCCCCGCCCTCCCGCTCGCCCGTACACTTGATCCGCGGAGTCTTTCGGCTGCCTGGCCGGGGCTTCCCCGCAGCCCTCCCCCGGACCCTGCGCGCTCCTGAAGCTCGGGCGGTTACTCGTCCGTGTTTGTTGCTCTTGGCTCTGAGGGCAGCCCCAGCGCTTATAAGAGGGATTCAGGCTGCGTCGGGGCTTTTTGTTTTGTTCGGTTTTGTTTTTTGAGAGCACGACAGAGGCGGTCGTCTGGACCCGGGAGGAAGATGTCAAACGTGCGAGTGTCTAACGGGAGCCCGAGCCTGGAGCGGATGGACGCCAGACAGGCGGAGCACCCCAAGCCCTCGGCCTGCAGAAACCTTTTCGGCCCCGTGAATCATGAAGAGTTGACCCGGGACTTGGAGAAACACTGCAGAGACATGGAAGAGGCAAGCCAGCGCAAGTGGAATTTTGATTTTCAGAATCACAAGCCCCTGGAGGGCAAATATGAGTGGCAAGAGGTGGAGAAGAGCAACTTGCCCGAGTTTTACTACAGACCCCCGCGGCCCCCCAAAGGCGCCTGTAAGGTGCCGACACAGGAAAGCCAGGATGTCTGCGGGAGCCGCCAGGCGGTGCCTTTAATTGGGTCTCAGTCAAACTCCGAGGACACGCTCTTGGTAGACCAAAAGACTGACCCATCAGACAGCCAGACGGGGTTAGCGGAGCAGTGCGCCGGAATAAGGAAGCGACCTGCCACAGACGGTAATGACCCTCAGTACCGTGAATTGTCTGTTTGTCTGTCTGTCTGTGGCTCGGCTGCGCTTGCCCGAGGGTATTAACCTTAGCCTGCTTTTCATCGTATTTGGATTTAGCTTTGGGGAGCGAACTTTATTATTAGTCTCAAGTTTTTAGTGCTGCCTGATTGACTGCTTGGTTGTTTATGATTTTTAAGTCAGAAGTCAGAGATTGTAAGATCTGATAATGTCCCTAACTTAAACATCACAGTGCTCGCTCGCTTAGCCTTAGGTATGTGACAACGTTGGGATGTTTATCCACAGCCTCCCTCCTGCTAGGGAGAGGGAGACTTGGGGTGGAGAATACACTTTCTGTTGTGTGAAAACAATCTCATTTTGTGCCCTTAAAGGCCACTGGGGATGGTCATCCAGGATTGTGGGTGGAGGTGGTGGGTTTTTTCATTCCTTGACGATTGGGCCAAGCTCTGCCAGCCATTGTTTTTTCTAATAAAGATTGTTTGTGTGTGTGTTCTTTTTTAAATTTCCCCTTGCCCTTAGATTCTTCTCCTCAAAACAAAAGAGCCAACAGAACAGAAGAAAATGTTTCAGACAGTTCCCCGAATTCCGGGTCTGTGGAGCAGACGCCCAAGAAACCGGGTCTCAGAAGACGTCAGACGTAAACAGCTCGGTGGGTTGATCTCTAAGAGCACACAGCTGACACCTGAACGGGGCTGCGGGAACCCTAGGCCATCAGAACCCCAGACATGTGATTTTACAGGTTGCTGTTAGACTAGGAGCTTGTGAGATTTGGTTGTTTGTACTTTGTGAGGTCAGAAAAGTAGCAGTGGGGGAGGTTGGGAATCACTGTGAGGATACTGTAATTCTTCAAAGTTTCTGCTTCCTGATACATTTTCCCTCGAACACTAAATAACTAGAGATACTGTCTCAGGCGAGTACTTGTAACCATGGCCTCCTTGTAGGAAGGTCAGGTCCTTGTGAGTCCCACCAAAACATGTTGGGAACAATAGGATTCTTTCCCCATCTGAACAAGAACTGGAGTTCTCTTCAGTCCCACTTTATCATAATTCATTTCCCAGAGGCTCAAGTTGAGTCAGTAACAGTTTTAGACACGGAAAAATGGCAAATAGGTGACGAAATGTAGATTTTTGAAGGGAAAATTAGGTGCAAATGGCCCACTTTTGGTTATCTAGGGGGTCAGAATGTGAACGGGTAGTATGACCTGTTCTTTATCAATTCCATAAACAGTCACTTTCCCTGTTCTCTATACATTTTAAGAAGAGAAAAGGAATCTTCATATTTAAAAAAAAAATCGGAAAGGTCAAAAATACTGCATTTTCTACAGAACTTCTGATAACACTGAAGCTGCAAAGCAGAAGTTAAATTAACTCTGCCACAGTAAGCAATCCAGGAACACGTCAGCTTGTATATGCTAATCAGGCAGTCACAGGGTGATTTGGATATTTGTAGGGGAAATGGATAGTAGATACTAGGACTGGTGAGAGTAGGTCTACCCCATGCAAGGGAAGTGGAGATTTTTCCATATACTAAAAATCTGATCACTGTGAATAGCTAATTTGAATAATTCACTCCTCAAATTTACATGGCTTTGCTATTTATAATGATCAAACTCATCTATATTACCCAGTTGTGAGCTTCTAGATGAAGACAGCGTGTGACCTCTTTTTTTCCCCCCTAAACCACCCTCTTAGCCTAGCATATAAAGAGATCTTAATAAAAGTTCATGTTAACTTTTAAAATCCTCATTTATAAAAATGTTAAAAAAGAATATAAGGGTTCAGGTGGGATTCAGGTTTGTTGTTATTAAATCATGTCATATATGATTTCTTCACAAATATCTGATATTTTTCAGAGCTTATACAAAACGGCACTGTAGAACCTCTATATTACAGCACTATATGAAGTGGGAAAATTGGATGAAAAATTTTCCTGAAGCAACCTTAAACATCTGCAGCTCTTGTTGGTTTGTGTGACTTGTAGCCTAGCTCACCAGATGAGCCACGTGAATCATACTTACTGGGATTTTGATCTGGCCCCATTCTGAACGTGCAGAGAAGCATTTGTTAGTAATATTTGCCAGTTCAAAGAATACTAGAAATAGGAGCAAAAACATATTCAAAAGCATTCATATGTATGTTCTGTAAAAATAAATAGCAACTCTTTGTAGCCAGTGAATAAGAAATTAGAATCTTGTGGAAAACGACTTTAATAGAATTTTTTTTTTTGGCATGACTTCTATAAATTGTATTTCCAGTCGTTTTTCAAATTGAAAATATTAGGCTACTCTTAAGTGTTACAGTGTCTTAATTTTCCTATTTCTTTCTATCTCTGACCCAGATTCTTTAGACTAGGGTTTCTCAATCTTTGCACTATTGACATTTGGGGGCGGACAATTCTTTGTTGTAGGAAGCTGTCCTGTGCATTGTATGAGTTTGGCAGTCCTGGCCTCACCCACAAGATGCCAGTAGCAGTCTTCCTCTTACATTTGTGATAACAAAAAATGTCTCCAGACATTGCCAAAGGTCCTGGGTGGGGGGTGGGGAGGGGCAAGATTGTCCACTTTTAAGAACCATTGTTCTGGGCAAAAGTACACAGAGGAGAATAAAAATGCAGTTAGAGAATGTTTTTAGGTGGAGATGGCTATAGCCGTCAGACTTTCAGCACATACTTTTCTCTTCATTGCTCGAGTATTTCCTTGCTAACACAGTGACAAAATAAATCTTGAAGTCTTAGTTATGCTACTCTAGCACTTTTCTCCTGATTCTTCCTTCTTGTTTTCTTTTGCAGAATTGAGAATGTTTCCTTGTTTATCAGATACATCACTGCTTGATGAAGCAAGGAAGATATACATGAAAAATTTTAAATACATATCGCTGACTCCATGGAATGGACATCCTGTATAAGCACTGAAAAACAACAATAACACTAAAATTTTAGGCACTCATAAATGATCTGCCTCTAAAAGCATTGGATGTAGCATTGTGCAATTAGGTTTTTCCTTATTTGCTTCATTGTACTACCTGTGTATATAGTTTTTACCTTTTATGTAGCACATAAACTTTGGGGAAGGGAGGGTAGAGTGGGGCTGAGGAATTGACAGGGGAAGAACTGGCTTCAGTTTATAGCAAGGAGATATTTGACTTGCATGAAGAGAAGCAATTTGGGGGAAGGGCTTAAATTGTTTTCTTTAAAGATGTAATGTCCCTTTCAGTGAGAACTGATAATTCATTTTTAAAATCAAAATTTGAACACTGGCTACAAATGGTTGCTATTTATTTTTACATGAAGCTTATTCTCACTTGGGAGATTTGATGATTCCGTTATATAGCAGCACATGGCTTAACACAAAACAAAAATCTATCCTTAGTGCTCCTCCAGTCTCCTTTAAAGTTAAAAATTTATCAGTTAATTATACAGCTGTTAGGTGAATCATTCCAGGTAATTTGGAGCAAAAATGTGGGGTGTATGAGGGGAGTTCTGAACGCTCAGAATTAACCACCTACATTTATCAAAAACTTATTGGGAAAATTTCTTTTCACTTTGGGCTGTGTAGACACAGTCGAAGTAATTCTAAACCTCTGGCTATTTTTAAAACTAACTTCACATGAAAAAAAAATGAAATAATTTTTAATTTAAAGCTTCTTGCTCTGTTAATTTGCCCAAAGGAAGTAGTCTTTTTAAAGGAAGGTGCATATAGAGAAAAGCACACTGGTGGAATAAGTGAAGTGGATACTACATCTTTAAACAGTGTTTCTTCATTGCCTGTGTATGTATATGAAACAAAACCATTTGAAGTGTACCTGTGTACATAACTCTGTAAAGACACTGAAAAATTATACTAACTTATTTATGTTAAAAAGAGATTTTTTTTTAATCTAGACAATATACAAGCCAAAGTGGCATGTTTTGTGCATTTGTAAATGCTGTATTGGGTAGAATAGGTTTTTCAAACTCTCTTCTGTTAAATAATATGGCTATGCTTAAAGGTTGCATACTGAGCCAAGTATAATTTTTTGTAATGTGTGAAAAAGATGCCAATTATTGTTACACATTAAGCAATCAATAAAGAACTTCCATAGCTATTCATTGAGTCAGTGTAATGTGCTTTACTAAGCTTGAGGTGTCTGATCTGGCATCCTAGTCATAACTGCAAAATATAATGTGAAGTGGCAAATAGCTAGGTTATCTAAGACCCGCAACTCAGATGATGTCTTTTGTGGGTCTGAATGTAGTTCGTAGTTAATACTTTACATTTGGTTCTATTAAGGGTGAACAAAGCTTTTAGAAGGTGAAAGTGAAAAAGTTACATTTTCATATAAATGAGATTGTCAAAGCCACCATTAGTTAAAACAGGTCTTCTAGGATGTGAGTGTTACCAGAACCAAAAGTACTTAACAAAGTGTAGAGTGAACACACATACACAGGATTGAAAATGAAAGTAACATGATGACTTCTCTAAATTCTGTGGGGAATTCAAGCAATTGTAGGGACCACCTACTGTACACATTTTGTTAAAAATGTTCAAACATGGGCCCTTAGGAAAGTGGATGCATTCTACACTAGGTAAATATTTTTCAAATTTACCTGATCATTATAAACAAATTATTCAATTTCTAAATATCCTGCTTACAATCCACACATCCCAAAACTGGTTAATCTAAATACCAAATATGTGGTTTGGGTCCCCATAACAGATATATATTTTTTACATAAGATGAAAAAATTTTAGTCATTTTCAAGTCAGATTACTGAAATGATTCCTGTAATTCCACATTCTCTTAAATGTGGTTAAGGTGTAAAAAGGAAATCATTTATTCTAGGAATTTGCAGTGTAAAAATGTGTATTTGAATTGTTTATTTAGATTGTTTCCTTCCAAGACCTGCATTTACATTATTACACCCTCAAAGAGGTTCTAAAATAGTTTCAGTATTTTTTGACCCGATTTTTTTTTTTTTTTTAAAGCAGGATTGACTCTGAAGCTGCGGGGAAGGGAAAAATAGGTCCTGTAGTGGCTGGGTCACATTTTTCAAGTAGGTATTATTTTAATTAAAGACTAAAGGTGTTTTTGTGATTTTGTTTAAAACATTCATACAGGAGAGTTTTTCAGGAAGAGATTAAGAGAGCAAGAAAAACAAAATGGGGAGGAGGGAGTGGAGGGTCAAAAAATAATGAAATAAAATTTAAGTTCCTCTGAGAAAAAAGTATACTTCAGAAAGTGACTTTAACGGAGGGAAAAACAGCCTCTTAATTGCTTCATGTACCCCCATTTTCATTTCTTAAAAGGCCTCTTAAATGTGAATTTTTAGAGACTACGTTTTAGGAACGCTGGGTCAGAGAGAAGTGGATGCTCGCCGCGCCAGGCACGTTCACAGGAAGGCAGCCCCCAAGGCACCGTGTCCTCGGTCCGGTACACATCTGAGTCCAGCCTCCGAAAGCTACCCCGCGGTTCGGATCACCTCGACCCGGTCTGCGGGGCCAGCAGCTAACGTCCCTCTAGGGGGGACGCCGGCGCCGGCGCCCGCCACCCGCTGCCCGGCTATCCGGGCTGCCGCGCCGTCGTCTCTGCTCACAGCCCGGCAGCCCCGCGCCCACTCGCGCGGACAGACGGGTGCCAGGCTGGCTGGCACCTCGGGACTAAAAGGCCATCTGTGTAGTCTAGCTCCTCGACTGCAACTCTCAGCTCCCGCACCGGCCCCGGCGCCGCGCTCCGTTCCCGCGACCGGGCGTCCGCAGGCCGCGAAGGGCGGCCGCGCCTCTGCCGCGCAGCAGGGCTGGGCGGTTTCTCAGAAACTTTCCTCCTCCCTCATCCTCTCCCCAGGGCTGAGAAGGAAGCAAGAGCCCCCCGTTCCTCCCCACACGACTGCCCCAGTGCCTCCCGAGCGGTGGGGACAATTGCGCGAAGGCGAGAGCCCTTCCGAATTCGTGGACCCTCCAGAGCAGCAGCCCGCTCCCACCCCTACCCCGGGCTCCAATGATCCGCAGCCCCGCGCATTTCGAAAGGCTGCCCGGCTCGCCGGCGGCCGCGGAGGGCCGCGGCGGCGCGCGGCTCTGGCAGACAGTCACGGCAGCTTGCGGTGATCGCCTCCGCCCTCACCCCCGCTTAGCAAAGTTCCCCCATGGCTCCCGTGGCCGCCCAGCACGCGAGACGGAGGCAGGGAGGAACCGGGAAACGTGGGTTTCGGGCGCGATTTGGGGGTGGGGTGGGGGGCACTACGGACTTCCTTGGGGGCAGCGGGGCGGGCGGCCTTTCAGGCCACCGAGCGCCCACCTCCCGGAGCGACCTTTCTCGGCGGCCGGGAAACGCTGCCTTCGCCATTTCATCTTCATCATCGCAGTTTACACACTTGCTCCACTTAAGCTCTCTGGATTTACAAAGGTGTTTTAAAAGCTCGTCTAGGATCTGGGGTCTGGTTTTCAGGATATGAATTTCTTTAATTTGCCATCTCTTTCACCTGAGCCACACCCTAGGCCCACTACGCCCTCCCTCCAGGCCAAAAGTAAAGAGGAGAAACCCTGCGAGCGAGGCCGGGGTGAGGAGGAGGCCCACGAGTCAGCCAGAAAACCTCTGGGGGCAACTCCCAGAGCTGGGGTAGGGTGGGGTCAGCCGCAGGCCGACCCCGCAGAACCGAAAGTGCAGTGTTTTCATGAAAACTCAAGTCCCTCTGCGGCCATCTGCGTACCCGTCCGGTCACGCGTGGGGGCACTCAGGACAGGCAGGAATCGGAAAGAAACACAAAAAGGAGTCAATGCGTTGGGCGCGAAGCCTCGACGCGCCTCAAAGGAACGTAAAGAAAAGGCCAGGCTCAAGGGCGCAGCCAGGACGCGGGGCCGGAGGATTGCATCATTGCAGCTCCCCCTCCAGAAAATGGGCTCCGAACCGCGGCGACCATCATGGCGCTTGGGTCGGGCCGCGCTTCCCGCGCGCCGTCCCCGAGCGCTCCCGCCGCGGCCACGGAGCCTCGAACGCGCATTTCGCAGACATTTTTCCCCTCTCCCGAGCGCCTGTCCCCTGCCCCCTCCTTCCTTTTGTGTGCGTGTGAATGTGCGTGTGTGCGTGCGTACGTGCGTGCGTGTGTGTGCAGGAGAGAACTTGAAGATTATTTTTTTTCCTCTCTCTTTTTTTCCCTCCCGTGCTGGTGGTTGTAAACTTGATTGGCATTGGCTGCGCCCACTGACCCCTGCGCGGAGTCCACTGAAGATTTAAGGTGGATCCGAGAGGCTGCAGCTTCAGGCGGAGTCTCGCGCTTGGGCTGGTTTTGAAGGGGAAAAAAAAAAAAGCCCCAAACTGTGCGCCCGCCGCGTTTTACGAATCCCCTGCGGTCCCAGCCCGGGCGCCCGCCCCGCGCCCCCACCCGCTGAGCGCGCCGCGCACTTCCTCCGCCCACCTCCACTTCTCCCCCATTGGCCGGCGCGTGCAGTTTGAATTTTTTTTCTTTTTTGGACGCTTGTTTTCTTGTAAAAATATTGTACCCCAGACCGTGTGACGAAAACTGCATCGGTGGGCCGTGGTGGGGTTTTTTTTTAGCTGGTTTGTCGGGGCAAAAGGGGGTATGGGTGGAGCTTCTGTTCCAAAATTTTTCTTCCCCAAGTGCCGTTGACAGTGTGCAGGCTGGTGAGGGGAGTGCGGGGCAGCGATACACAATCGGTAGAAGCTTCGGCAGGGGCAGAGATGTAGTATAAGACGTTAATGGATGTCCAGGGCGCGCCGTGTCACCGGCTGCTGGCCAGAGGTACTAGGAAGGCGCGGGCAGGATCCTGGCGAGGATGCACCCTCCCCTGCTTTGGAAAGGTAGAATTGGGGAGCGCGGGCGGGTGGAAAAGAACACCTTTCCGCACCCTATGGACGGGTGGGAAAAGGAACAGAAGAAATGGAAATAGAGCCGAAATGTATCATGTGCAGTGGTACTCGGAATCCATCATAACTCGGGCAGTCAGCGTCATTTTTTTACTGAATTAAAGAAAAAAAAATTCTGTCTCTAATTTCCAGAGTGTTTGAGTGAGGAATATGTCAAAACAAAATCGAGATAAGACATGGCCTTTTAAGTGCCTTTGATTTTGGAGTCTGGGAAGTGATTTCTTTTGATCAAGTGCATGTAGTCTACTAAGAGTTTAGGATGATGTTATTGGTGATACAGATCTAATGGAAACAATATCCTTTATTAATTAGAACCCGATTGTGTTTTACTTTGTGAAAATTCTACGTTTATAGTAGTAGTTCAAATTACTCTCCACATCATTCTATCTGCATGTTAGTGAAGTTAGCATCTTTCCTCCCTCCCGCCCTCCCCGCTTCCCTTTTTCTCTTCTGTCTCCCCTCCTCCTCTCTCTCTTCTTGTTGCCTTGTAGCAGGCGATTTTAACCAGATGTCCAACCGTAGTTCTCTAACAATTCCTAACCCAGTGGTGGTATTTTTTAGTTAAGTCCCCCAATCCTTCTTAGCCCACAAACCACTTAATTATCCACCCCTACTAAGCCCCATAAAACACCATAAACCAACCTGATTATGCTTTTAGTAAGACTGCCCTCATTTAATCTCTCTAATCCCACCCACATCATAAAGGTCCACTGGTCACTCCTGACCTCCAGGGACCCACCTAGCCAGGGTGGACACTGTCAGAAAAATCTAGGTGCCTTAATAGAAAGAGGAATTTTTTTGAGTTAAGGACAGGCTAGCCTCAGGAAGCAGTGAGTCAAGCAGAAGTCTGGGGGACCCCTTGGTGGGGACATGGTAGACAAAATTCAAATATCAAGTATTCGGACAAGTGATTTCAAAGTCTGTTCTAGACTCTTGAGATACCTTATTTCCACCCCTGGAATTTCTGGATTGCCACATAATTAAGCCTTTTTTTTTTTTTTTTTTTTGGAGACCATGTCTCATCCTATTGTCCCAGGCTAGAGTGCCTAGCTTACTGGAACCTCAAACTACTGGGTCAGGCAGTCTTCCTGCCTCAACCTCTCCAATAGCCAGAAGTACAAGTGCCCCACAAAGTCCTGCTAATTATTTTGTTGTTGTTGTTTTTAGTAGAGATGAGGTCTTGCTCTTGCTCAGGCTGATCTTGAACTCCTGAGCTCAAGTGATCCT